AGAATTAGAATAAAAAATGAAATGAAACAAGCGAAAAATACAAAAAACGTGGCAACGAGTGAAGGCTTTCTAAAAATGCTTTCTCCACCTGCCGGCAGCCTTTAGCTGCTGATGGCAGTCATGGCTCGTGGATTTGAATAATTGTGCAGCAGCGTGTAACGGTACATGCAGCAGAGTATATTGCATTACGGTAGCTGCTGCCGCCGCTGTTGCTGTTGCTGCTCCCGTGTGGCAGCTCCTGTATTTGTTTGTAAACTTATGCTCAGATGTGCGCTAAATTTTTTATTGTTATATGCACAGCAAACAATCACACAAACACACACACACACACACACACACACATTCACATGTGTATATAGTATATATTGTATTTGTTGTTCTGCACAAAAGCTTTTGTTGTTCAAATTAAAAATGATTTAGATGCCAGCAAATTGAGTTCACTTTTAGATTCCATTTTTATTTCAGCTGGTGTGTTGCTTAATTGTTTGATATTTCCACAAACACACACAGACACACGCATACACACACATTTACACATCGTGATATGCGCAAATATAGAGACAGTTTCATTTTAATCAAGCCCTGTCATTGTTGTTATTGTTGTTTTTGTCTACTCTGACAAAGAACATGCAATTTCATGCTTTTGTGCATTTTTACTTCATTTAAATTGTAAATTCTCAAAGAAAACTAAGAATAACAAATGAGAGTTGCATAAGTTCGACTAGCAGTTACTCTTTAATAAATCAAATTAAATGTCGTATGATCTGAAGTGTGCGTATTAACAAAGACCATATTTATTCTTAAAATTTTCGAGCTGCAACTAAAAATCTAAGGAAGAAAATTGATTTAAATTCATTTTAGGAAATTCAAAGTAAGAAAACAATTTAAATTTTTGTGTTTTCCCAGAACAGTGCTAAGTTGAGGAAGACTGCACGACATATATAGGTAAAATTATCTCAAACCCAATTTCTTCTTCAACTGATTTCTGCTGCCAGCCGAAACGTTTATACCTCGCTTGTATTTAGGGTATAAACTGCAAAGAAAAAACTTAGCAAGTGTTTGTTATATGCAACAAAAACGTTTATCTGAATGCTAATTGTTGTCATCATGTGCTAACGCCAAAATACATGCTTCACACTCTTTTTTATTTTAAGGGGCAAAGGAAAACTTTGTTCCTTTTTGGGGCATTTCTGTTGGCTTTAAATGACCTCATAAAAGAGTGAAATTCAAGCCGCACACAAGTTGAATTTGTGGAATGTGCACTCACACACACACATACACACACACTTAAGCACCGGATGTGCCATTTTGGAATGCCACAAGAAAATGGCTAAAGGAAGCAGCGGAAAAAAGGGTCATGTTGACCACTTGATAGCCGAACGCGTGCTCAGGAGCTAAAACTCTACAATTTCTCGCTTTCATTTGAAGTTGAAGGCTTTGGATAAACTTGTGGTTGCAAATGCTTTTGGGAACATCACTTGGCTCAATGTGCGCTGTTAATTTTTATCAGTTGTAGCTCCTCGTGCTTAGGCTTCACTGGGCAATTTCATTTAAAGCAAAGTTTGCATCATAAAACTCGCATATTGCCAACTTCTTTTTTATGATGTGCCTTGTCCTCATATCTCGGCCCGTTGTGCCGCGCAATTGAATCCATTCGCAATGCTTTCCGCTCGCCTATTTCATAATCAAATACATAACTTTATTAATGCTCGCATAGACAAGGACGAACAGTATAAAAAGTTCCGTCCAAAAATTTGCTTAGATTGGCGAAACAATAAATTTTCCATTGCCTAAGGATCGGAAGACAACCCTCAAATGCTATTTGTTGAGTGCGCGAATGTTGGCGCATAAATAAAAATATAATTGAGAAACCAGCCAGAGCTGAGGGAGCAGGGAGACTGTATTGATTTTTTCTTATTATTTTTTTTTTGTTTTGGCCAAAAGGCTCTCTGCCTGCTCTGTTGGCCAACTAAATTAGCCGACATTAATTGAGCAATCGGTCAGCGCCCAGCATTTTTACAATACATCGAATCGCCCGGCGGCACTTAGTTAGTGCCCAAAGCTTTAATTGATTAAACAGCTCGTCAGCAATCGCTTTTGCTATCGCTATCGCAGCAATTGCATTTCATTCAATTCCCAACTTAATTGCATTGGTAAAACTTTCGTGACAACCAACTAATTGCCAGGGCAACTTTTCTCCAAGCTGCAGATTATTTGTTGTTGTTCCGTTGCTACCGATGCGCCACAGAATTAAATTAAAATTTATAATAAAATATGCTGGCGATATACGAAAAAACCATATATAGTCGCAAAGTTTTAAATATTTCTGGCGCACAGCGATTTTTCGAAAGTTTAATTGCAATTACTGTATTGTGTTCACAATTGTTTGTAACTTTTGATTGGGTATTCGGTTGGCTTGATGTGATATATTATTATATAGAATATCGTGTAGACTGACTGCAATTGGAATATTATAATTTGAGCTCTGCTTGGAATGTATTGAAGTCGAAACTAAGCTATTCACATTTTATTTGCTGTTCGTCGGTCGTTGCTCATAGCTCTCTGTTAGCTGCTTTTTGCTACCTTCCTCTGTTTTTACTCATTTTCGCGTTGCTCTAACATTTCTATTCTAATTACTCGCCTTACTTTTGACCTTCTCGTTATTCCTATCGTAGTTTTTCTCTGCTTGCTACGCGTTAAACTCTGCTTGTTATTTGCTACTTCATAATCGTTACTCGTTACTTCGTTAGTTGCTACTACTACTACTCGTGACTTACTACTCGATACTTACTTTTCCCTTGTGCTTTTCTCATTGCTATCGATATTCATTGCCATACCAAATAGTAGCATATTCGTTAATCGCTACGCATAACTCGTTACACTTGTTTTTTAATCGTTGTACGCAACTCGCTTCCCTCATCATCCTCATATTTCGCATCGATCGGCTTACATCACATTCATCTACGCCATGCTGTGCATATATAACATATATCTCTTTCGTTTGTTATAGCTGTTACAGTCATCTCTTAAATCTATTTTATGTTGGCTTCTTTTTTGGTTTTTGCTCCCAGATATTGCAGCAAGCACCTGCCCATCAATCACTTAGCCATACAAAAATGCCACTGCATACAAATCGCAATTAATTTACCTATTCGTGTATGTCTGCTTGGCTTTAGTGTGTGAACGTGCTTGTACTCTATATTGGTATGCCTGGTCTCTGTGTGTGGTGTGTGGGTGTGTGTGTGTGTGGCTGATGCCCAGCGAATTTCCACTGGTTACTGGCCAAGGCCAGCTACTCTGTTTGCATATGAAGGGTCTGTGGATCATGAGGCCGCTGAAGCTACAGTTGCAGGCAGCGGGCAATCTGGATGCACGTCATCGTCATCGTCATCGCCAGCGCAGTGAGGCTCAGAGCAGTTTGTCGGCATGTTTGCTTGCATGTCAAATTCTCATTTCATTGAAATTGACAAATATTGACTAAGAACTCGGGTGCAATCAACGCTGGCGCTTGTCGGCGACAAATGGGCGTGCTCGGCAGCACGGTAGCTCGGCGGGAGTTGGCAGACCAGAGCATTTCAGTCTGCATATATGTCGTGGCAATGTCATTGCTGTTGAAAGTGAAACTCAATTCGACGAATGAAATTTAAAGTTGACTTTAAGGAATCCTCTGGTCGCAGACCTCAAAACGATGAAGATGTCGTCGCCAGGACAACAGACAACAGCACAAATTGCTGCTCAACTGCTCAACTTTTGCAGGCTAATAAACTAAAATGTTAAACGGCTACTGAAACCGAGCCGTATTAAGCACAAGCTGAGCACCTCAATGGCGGCAAGACTTGGCTCTTTGATGCAAAACATTTTGCTTTTGTGCTGCAAACAAAACACCTGGGGAGCGAGTCAAAAAACAATTTTCGCTCATTATCATTTCAGCATGTTGTATGCCCAAGTGTTTCAGATTGTTCAAAAGAGCTAGACGGCGACTAAGATGGGAAGCAGATATAACGAGATAGAAAGAGAGGGGGACAGAGACAGGGAGAGAGAGAGAGAGGGAGCGCATGCTGATGAAGAAGTTTACAACACATTGTTGCTGCCATTGCCAGTGCTCCTGCTGCTGCTGTTGCTGTTTTGGCCTTGTTGTAGTTGCTCATAAATGCGCCATGAATAAATTAACTCGCTGAAAAGCAAAAGGCAGTTACAGCGTTTGGATTTCAAGCGAGTGATAATAATAATTGAGGCAGCAGCTAGGGCAACACACCCACACACACACGCACGCAGACACACATTCTCTTTGTCAAATAACAACAGTTTGGCAAGTTTACACTGCAAGAAACTTAGCTGCTCACAGGTAAAAACGGGAATAAGTCTGAATGGAATGTTGAAGCTTTGAGCTCAGGCTTATGTCATATATCTCATCTCTCTACCTCTATTCTCTCTGTCCACTTCTCTCTATCTTTCACTCTCATTCTGTCTTTATTTCGCTCTCTCTCTCTCTCTCTCTCTCTCTCTATCTCTCTATTTGCCTTTCTTTCTCTTTCTCGCTCTCTCAAACTCTCATTCTCCCTCTGTATTTCTGTCTCTCTCTCTCTCTTTCTCTCTCTCTCTTTATCGCTCCCTCTCCATCATTATCGCTCAATACGTCTCTCTCCTTCTGTCATTATCTTTCTCGCTTGTTCTCTCTCTAATTATCTCTCTCTATCTCTCTCTCCCTCTCTCTCTCTCTCTCTGTAGCTCTCTCTATGTCTTTCTCTATTTATCTCTCTTTAGCTCTCTCTTTCTCTCTATTGTACTTATTATGGGATTTTCCAGAATTCAAGTAGAATTATTGTTATATGTTATATGTTATTTCCCCTAACACATATCCGTCTTAATCTTCCTGTTATTTAGTTTTATTTTGCTTATTATATTTGCAAATATGTCTATAACACTCTAACTCCGTTCATATGGCAACTCGTTGTGAGCCTGCTTGTTGTCAAAGTAGGTAGTTAGGCAAATAGTCAATAGGCAGCAGTACATAACCTAGCAACCGTTTTGCTTGCCAGTTACGAGACAACATTTAAAATAACTAGAGGCCTGACGGGTATAGATGGTCAGGTATTTGTGCCTAGTGGAGCTGCCCTTAAGATGAATAGTGGTCGGACTACTCGGACAGTTTCAGGGCTGCATAGCAAGCAGCGCCAATCTCACAATGTGAGGCATGCCATCTTTACAATGAAGCGCCCGATGGTCTTCCAGGTGCGTAAATCTCTGGTGGAGTATTTGGACGAGGAGCTGCTGAATATGAACACGTCGGTGTTCTATCAGCGTATCTTCATACTGGCCAAGAATGTGGATCCAATGAGCGAAACTGTGGCGGAGCAAGCACAAAACAATGCCGAAGCTGTTTCCCAAAATGCGAACACAGATGCGGGATCTAATCGTGCTGCTGAGGAAGAAGATCACTATTCGGAGATGGCCACGGAGGAAGATTCGGACGAACTCCAGGATGCCGGTCAGCTCAATAAATTGTCTGTTACAATTAATGAGGGAAGCAATAAGGAAACGGTGACACGCACTTTCCGATTTTATGGCAATGATGATGTACAAGAGGAGGCAGAGCCAGAGGAACCAGAGCCTGAACCGCAAGCACCTCAACAGCCAAAGGACATATTCACTCAATTTACCGATATGCTACAGGAGCTGCATGCAAAATGTCGGGAGTTAGCCTACTCACCTGATCCCCTGTGCGGACTGGTTCTCTACATGAATGAATACACCATGATGATGCTGGAGAGCTCCGAAGATATGATAGGCATCTTCTGCGAGGCGCTGCTGAGCTCCATTTCTGATTATTGGCAAAATCATCGTGTCTTCCATATCGAGGATCACATCAAAGAGGTGAGTGGAACAGATTACTTGAATTTGAATAGAACTTCTCCACTACTAACTTAGGCCCTTTCCAGCTGTATACAAAAGAACTGCTGTTTAGGCGCATACCAGCTGCTTTTCTCAACGAAAAGTTTCCGCCGTCGACGCCCACGGACGAGTACCTGATGGGCAAACAGCATCTGATCATCAAGGACAAACTATTCACCATATGCACACTGATTGGCGAAAGTATGCATCCAATCAAATCCGAGTCATCCCAACAAGAGACGCCTGTGCAAGAGGCGACTGGGACATTCGAAATTGAAGGTGGAAGCGAAGAGACCAATCAACCACAGAGACGTTCGCTCAGTCAATTGGAACGCATAACTGTCGCCGTCTCAGATACATTGCCAGCGGATATCTTTCGAAAATGGCTGCCGGAAATGCAGCGCATAGAACTGGTCTTGTCCTCGACCCGCTTCTACTATACGCTCGAAGAGTTCTGTGGTGTGTATGGCAAGGTGCCATTTAGACGTGACGATGATGGCTTCTTCTGGCCCATACAGATCAACTATACACCGGGTCAAATCTTCCGACGTACACCGTATGATATTAATTTGACCTTTACGGAATATGCGGCCGAAATGAATCGGCGCCTGCAGGAGGACCACAAGGCTGAGATGGATGCGGCTGCTGAAGCTGAGGCAAGCGCCTTGGCACAGGCGGAGACACATGACAAGCCGCAGAAGCCAGCAAAGGAGGAGGAGGAGCCCGACGAATAATATTCACATGTTATTAGTTTAATACTTCGTTTTGTTCGTAGTTGCATGAAATTTCGCTCAGTGTAGGCATCAACATTCGAAATTATCAACACGCAGTTGATGTCGCTGTGTTATCTACCAAAACTCGCGTTCGGTTACAATATTTTCGCCTTCGTGCACATGACTGCATTCAATGTATAGACGGTGGGAGGCCGCACTGAAAGGTAGCGGTGCGGTGGTGTGGTGTGGTGGCTTGGCTGAGCTATAGCTCCTGGCTCGTGGCTCGTGGCCCGTGGCTGCGGCTGTAAACGCTGCTTACTTGTTTTGGTTTGCCACTTGAATGGCTCGACTCTGTTAACATAAACATAAATTTGTGCACATCCTTAAGAAGACGACACACATGCACATTAATATACATGCTTTTGTGTGCGTGTGTGTGGGCTGCGGAGAGGGGTTTTGGGCTTTTAACATAAACCGCAACAGACGCCAGCTGTCAGTTGTAATACCGTTAGCTTGCAGCTGTCAAAAGCTGTTGCTGTCATTTTAAGTCACTTGACAGTTCACACACATACACAGGCACACACATACACTTTCACCATACACACATAATTATAGCTGCTCAGAAACTGGCTTTGACTGCAAAAGATAGGATTTGCTGAAATTCAGCTTAAAGCCAGTTGGGATTGGCTTTGAAATTCACAGTTCACTTTTGGCAAAAGTATTTGGAAAACACATTTGTATATGAGATTAGTTGGCTTAGCCTTTCGGCTGCAAATATGAAATAAAGCGTGAAATGAAATGAAAAGCGTGTTTAGAAATTGAGCTAAAAAGTTAATTAAACTTCTAGGTGAACAGCAAGTTGTTTGACACGCACACGAGCTGCCAGTCGACTGCTGCAGGACATGCGCTGACAAGGACACAATTCAATCAAGCGCCACAGCAGCAGCAATAGTAGCAGTAGCAGCAGCAGCAGCAACAGCAACGAGTGTCGGCGCATAAACAAGGACATTGCACTCCAGGGTGCTCGCTCAGCGCAAGAGATGAAGAGGATGGCCGTGTGTGTGTGCGGCAGCGAGAGCAAAGCCAAACATTTGCCACTGCAGTTTTCATAAACTGCCAGGCAACAGCAACAACAGCAGCAACAGCAGCAGCAACAGCTACATGGCACAGCAGAGACAATGGCGATAAGCCGCTGCAGTCCAGAGTGAAAGGACGAAAGTGCATGTTGCCACCATGTGGCCCACAACTTGAGGCGCAAACTCATAAATTACAAGAGTAGAGCCAGAAAAAAGCAGCTCAAATGACTTTTGGCTGTTGGTGTGAACGTGTATATGGGCGTGTGTGTCTATGTGGCTGTGTCCAAAAGTGAAACAGTTTGCAGCAGTCACTTTAGGGGCGCTTGGGCGTGGCCAAGTTTAGCGCAGCGTTGGCCATGCGAGCCATGTTGTCTGGCACGCCAAAGGCCAGGCATAATTCGAGCCAAACTCAATTTGTTTGTAATGTTTTAGACAACAGCAACGTCAGCTACAACAACAACTAAATTATATATATGTAAGTTAACTTATAACACTTAGTTAGCTTATAACACTTAATGTAAGGTATTATTCAACACTTATTATCGGGTGCTAGACAAGTTAAGGAACAGCCCTGGCAAGGGCAACTCTACTTACGCCGGTGAGGCTATGATTTGTAAAAATATAGATCAGTCTCGTGTTTTAACTCGTACTGATAGGACATGCTAAAAATTGGTGTCATATAAGTAAAACTAAAAATAGTGAATATAATAAGAAAAACCAATAAAATTAACTGTTTCGATTATTCAAAAAAGAACAATTAAAAGCAGGGTTAAAAAGCGTTCTTCCAGTAAACCGCTTAAATAAATATTCACTCCGTCATTTGCTCGTTAAATGGCTTATTTCATTGTCTGAGCCCGAGGCCAGCAATAAGAGGCACAGTCGCCTCTCAACCTAACTTTCAGTCACCACAGGACTGGAAAACATATAATTGGCGCCCAACTAGTGGTCGGACTCCACAACCAACAACAATTAAGACAGCAGCGCGGGAGCTGCAATTGACAGATCTTATAAAGGGATTTTTTTTTTTTTGTTTTGTGTTAGTTGAATCTTGTAAGTGGATACTCTAGCCAAAATTTTTCTTCAAACACAAAAAGTGTTAAAATTTATTTTATAAAAAAATACCTAGGACTAGCGAGTATTTTATATTGCAATTGCATGTAAAAAAAAAAAAAAAAATTAATGATCAGAACCAAGTGAGAGTGACTACTTTGGGAATTTTAGTGGCAGCAATTGATCATTCAGATCGTCAATAAAATTACATTGTGTTACTTTCTGTGTGTCTGAAGTTGTGCATGCAGTTCTCGTAGTTCAGAGCTGTGACGTAATTCGACCCATCTTCTGACGGTCCGTTTTATTTTTCGCGACCACTGACCTGCGCATGTCTCGGTTCAACCAATAGAGAAACCCTCGCAGGCAGTCTAGCGACTCAGATTCCGACTGTGCAGTTCTCCCACCATCAGGTAGAATGGATGTAGATCAGCTTACGGAAGTAATAAGGACGGCTATCAGCAAAGCTTTAGCCGAACAGGCTGCTGTAAACCAGCAGAGGGAGCATGCATGGACTCAAAAAATTAATGAGTTAGCTGAACAAATAGCAGATGCATCCCCATTAGTTAGAAGTTCTTTTTTGAAAATGCTGAAGACCAGACAAAAGGCCTTTGCAGACCCAGACGAGACGTTGCCGTATAACACATCAGTCGTGGCTACCATTAGGACCATAGATGAGCAACCGATCTATACCAAGCTTTACCCATATCCAATGGGAGCGGCTGATTTCGTTAATAAAGAAATCAAAGATCTACTAAAGAATGATATAATTCAAAAGTCCGTCTCTCCCTACAATAACCCAATATGGGTAGTAGACAAGAAGGGCACTGATGAAGCGGGCAATAGGAAAATGAGGTTGGTAATGGACTTTCGTAAACTTAACGAAAAAACCGTGCCGGACAAATACCCTATGCCAAATATATCAATGATATTGGGGAATTTGGGGAGAGCCAAATTCTTTTCAACATTAGACCTCAAGTCTGGTTATCACCAGATCATACTCGCTGAACGCGACCGTGAAAAAACCTCTTTCTCTGTGAACGGGGGGAAATACGAGTTCAAAAGACTCCCCTTTGGATTAAAGAATGCAGCAAGCATTTTTCAAAGAACCATCGACGACATACTGCGAGAGCAGATTGGCAAATTTTGCTATGTTGATGTCAATGACGTAATCATCTTTTCAGAAGATGAGGAATCCCACATTAAACACGTGGATCGGGTCCTAAAAAGCTTATACAAAGCAAACATGAGGGTCTCCGTCAAAAAGTCACGTTTTTTTAAGAAAAGCGTGAACTTTCTTGGTTTCGTAGTCACCAGCACTGGCACCACGACGGATCCTGAAAAGGTTAGGGCAATACAGGAGTATCCAGAACCAAAAACGCTGTTCGAGGTTAGATCATTTCTAGGCCTCGCAAGTTATTACAGATGTTTCATTAGGGACTTCGCCGCAATAGCAAGACCCATCTCGAATATCCTAAAGGGTGAAAATGGAACAGTCAGTAAGCATAGGTCCAGAAATATAAAGGTTCAATTCTCTGAAGTGCAGCAGAGGGCATTTCAGAAGTTGCGCGATATTTTGTCATCCGAGAATGTAATGCTCAGGTACCCCGATTTTAAGAAGCCATTCGATCTAACGACCGATGCTTCGGCTCACGGCATAGGTGCAGTTTTGTCTCAAGAGGGTCGTCCTATAACAATGATTTCAAGAACATTGAAGGACAGTGAGGTTAACTATGCAACCAATGAGAGAGAGTTATTGGCCATTGTATGGTCACTTGCCAAATTAAGGCACTATTTGTATGGGGTGAAAGACATTAATATCTTCACTGACCATCAACCCTTGACCTTCGCAGTTTCGGAATCTAATCCAAATGCGAAAATCAAAAGGTGGAAAGCGCGCATTGACGAGTCTAATGCACGTATCTTCTATAAACCTGGCAAGGACAATCTGGTTGCGGATGCCTTGTCAAGACAGCAGCTCAACGCTATAAATGAGCAAGAAATTGAGTCCTGCGCAGCAACGATCCACAGTGAGGTATCTCTCACCAACACCATTGAGACGACAGACAAACCCTTGAACTGTTTTCAAAACCAGATAGTGCTAGAAGAGGCGCGTTTCCCCTTAAAACGAAGTTTTATTCTTTTTGGAAATAAGAAACGCTACTTGATCAGCTATACATGCGTCGAATCGCTGCTAGACGAGCTCGAAGATGTAGTCTCACCCAAATGCGTAAATGCTCTCCACTGTAATTTACACACGCTTGCAATGATACAAGATGCATTGGTGCGAAGATACCCAGCCACAAAGTTCTGGCATTGCAAAAATCGCGTAGTGGACATATTTGCGGTTGGAGAAGGAAGGGAAATCCTCACAGTCGAGCATAATAGGGCCCATAGGTCTGCACAGGAAAATGTTAAGCAGGTACTCTCGGAGTACTACTTTCCACGGATGGCAAAAATTGCCAAGGAAATGGTACAAAACTGCAAAACATGTGCTAGGGCTAAGTATGATAGACACCCCAAAAAACAAGAGCCACAAGAAAAGATAGAAGAAAAGATCAGAAACGCTCAGACGACGCTCAGAGCTAGGGAGAACGCAAAGCGGCAGAATAGAGTCTTCGATGTTGGTGACAAGGATTTGGTCAAGTCCAACCGACGGCTCGGAAACAAACTCACACCTTTATGTGTCGAGAAGGCCGTGGAAGCAGACCTGGGGACCGAGGTCCTCATTAAAGGAAGGGTGGTCCACAAGGACAACCTAAGATGACTCCCTTGTTTTTTTATTACACCTTTTATTATAAGCCGCTAGGCAATTTAGAATAAGTTAGATATAGTTTTTCAATTTACCTTTAGCCACTTGGCATAATTTTTATAAAACAATTTGGTGGCGGGTACACCCGATGCCGGTGATTTAGAGCAGACTAGGTCCACTGAAATGCGACTAATGAATGCCAACAGTAGACGGATAGAAGTAAACACTGAGGTTCAAGACCAACTTAACCAGTTAACATTTGCTGTCAGTGGAGTTCTCGGGATAGCCAAAACTCACAAATTGATTTTATTGATTTATTTATTTGAAACACTGAAACACTGTCCAGAAACAGAATGCGGACGATGGAGTTGCAAAGTTTAATGCTTGCTATTACTCTCGCGAAGGCTCATTGTTAGCCCAAACATTTTGGACTCCTCAGATTTAAAATCAATTTGGCTAGAGGAATCCATCAACACTATACATTTTATAACCAAATTCCCAAAAATTAAAAAAGCCTGCAGAAAAATTACGATTTATCCTGTCGTCCACAAGAACCAGCAACAGCTCTATTCGCCCCATAGTTGGATGCTAAGCCAGAACCACAGCATGCAAATCTACAAGCGGAATCGTTGAGGAAACCCCCTTGTTCACGGCACCACCACCAACAGTAGAAGCTCATCAGCCAGCAACAACTAACGAACTCTTCGCGGCGGCAGAGCCAAGCGACTCTTCATCCATACTAGAACCAAGTCAAGAAATCCCCAAAACACCGCCAACTGCATTAATTCAAGAAGTTTCACAGCCACAGGTTGCTCCAACCGCTGCCCATCTCTGTCGACACCTGCCACGGCTGCCTGCTCATCCTCATCCTCATCGGCAGCGGCGTCACGTCAACTGCAGCTGCCGGCATTGTCGGCAGTTGCCGCACGGCAACAGCAGCTACTGCTGAACGGCTCTCTGAAGAGCAAGACGAAGACATTTCCTGCGTATCGAGCATCGGTGCGCAGCGAGAGCGACGACAAGGAGTACAGGGCGGCTAGCAGCAGCAGCAACACGATACCGACGACGGGCAAAAGTCGGCCAAGATCAGCGGCAAGAACTGTAACAATCTGCTGCACAACGCCGGCAATAAGCTAAGCGTGAGCAGCAACTCCTTCGGCCTATACGCAGCATCTGGCATCATCGCCCAAGAGCCCTGTCTCCAGCAACGGCCATCTGAACAAATACTGCCTGACGGACTTGACGCGCCGCAAGGCCGAATTCAATCGCCAGCTGAGCGCGCCGACAGACTACACACATCACTCGTCCAGTAACGGCTCATAGCATCGCTGGAGTGGTGGGACACAGTCATCACGGCCATCACGGGCACGTGCACGGCCAGTCATCGACGGCGCCAGCCACACTCAAGTCGCTGCAGCTGCACAACTTTGGTATGCATCATCCGATGCCAAGGCCCACGTCCACGTCGTGCACCAACAGCTTCAACAGACGCCACATACGTAGGCGCAAGAGCAAGCTTAGTAAGCGCCTGCTGAACGGCGATAGCGAAGAATCAGTACGCTGCTCATACTGCTCCGTATTGAATGTGAATGAGAACGACTTGCGGATTTCATTCGAGAACACCTGCACCGACTCGCTGGTCACCGCTGCTAATATGCGACCAAGGAACCGAA